ACCAATATAGGAGGTGCTTTCATAAACGTACCAAGGAATAAAATACATATTAATGCATTAAATGATGCTACGTATGAATGTGGTTAAATGTAATTTAAAAACTATATTTCCACAATATAGTCATTTATTTGTTTTTAGACCAGTAAAAAATTCCATAGCAGCCTTAAAACAAACTTTTGAACAAATATCAGATCTAGCTAAAAGTGTCGTAAAGTATATATCATATTATTGTAAAAACAGTTGTAATTACATATGCACAAGTTTTAAAATATTAAATTGAGCAAATTATTTCGATATTCGCAAATCTCTATTCTATAATCAGATTGATCCTAAAGGTTTCGGCATTCGTGGCTTCCTTTTTTGCAACATCCCAATCGTCTTCGTCGATCAAACTAATCTTTTCCCCAGCATGATTTAAATAATATAATCTATCCATGGAGATTTTAACATTGTACCGTTGTTCGATAAGTGCGGTTAATTGTTTAAGGTAAGTATCGAAAGAAATTAGAAGTGCATATTTTTTGGTTATAAAAATACACGTGATATGCAGCTGGGTCGTGGATAATGAGAATAAATTATATAATCAAGAGGATTGAAGAAAGTGATAAGATTGGAAATAGGTTGGAGTACCTCTGAATCACTGTTGGAATGTTTAGAAGTTTTTAATGAATTTCTTTTTTCAGGTTGCACAGTGGAATTAGCAACTTGATTAATATCATCATTTGTCCAAAGTTTTTCTTTACTTTCTATCCAATCGGTAATACCATCATTAACATGATTATTGTTATGAACTTGAGACTCATCATTTCCATTGTTTTCAAGTGCTGTTATTCTATTATTGGATCGTATTGCTGGTTTTTCACTAAGGTCATCTCGTGCAGATTTGATAAATGATCCCTTATTCTTTACCTAATAGTTATCAAGTAGAATGACATATCAAGAATAAGTATGGTTAAGATATACAATATACATGATTTAAAGCAAATATTACCTCTTGATTTACAGCATTATTGTTGGAGTGTTGAGAATTCTTTATACTATATTGTGGTGATGGCTACAGAAATTAAGAATAAACACACTTAAAACTAATATGCGAACAAGAATAAATAATGATCTTTTAGAAAAAATTAGAGGGTAGAATGTACCTTTACATTGGTCGATTTCCATTGTTTAATGTGGTTGATTAACTTAACTATTAAACTATTATCAACGTCTTTATATATTTTGAATATAATAGTAGTCGCATCGTCCAACTTTCCACGACTTGGATCAACAGGATTTTGAAGCCTAACATCCAGACACTTAAGAGGAAATTCGTAAAACTATGGATATCCAATAGTGATATAAAGAAAAAAATTAAATATGGTCTAAGAGAACATCTAATTCTCAAACTATTACTTATTCGCTCACTTCTTTTTTAAATCCTTTTTTCATATCTAGTAATATCTCCTTTTGACCTGTTACATCACTAAACCGAAACTTCGCCACTTGATCCAAATTAAACGCAATTTCTTTGTTTTCATCGACCATAACAATGCAAATTTGGCTCGGCTTCCTAAAAACCAGACCTAAGTTTGGCTTAACCATGTCTTGCAATTTCAGAGTGGACAATTGGATATCTGAAGGCTGTAAAACAATTTGGGCTATCTCAATGCAAATGTAATTATCTGAATGTTTAACACTTTCTAAGAGTGATCTGGCTGCCATGGCGGGGGTGTTAATACTGTTGTAAATTGATGAAGAATTACGGGAAGATGGTGTTTCTTTTTAAGAATTCAAATTAGAAACAAAATGGGCAAGGAAAAATGTTAAAATAGGTCAATTGAAGTTTCAGAACAGAAACAATTGTAGGATAAAGTACAGATCATCTTACCAAAACTAACATACAGATCATCATCACTGTCACCATATTCGTAATCGCTAATACCATCCACCTGACGACGAGTTCGGTTTCGTAGTTCCATATCTACTTTATGAAAAATCTTTTAAAAAGGAAAATTAGAAAACTAACGCTAACATGTATTAATAGATTGTTTTGCTTGCTCTATCAATTTGTTTTTTTTTGTTTTTTTTTTTTTTTTTTGCACTTATGCACTTATTAACGTTACGGTTAGTTATAAAATGACAAAGTTTGAACTTAATTGATAAGAGAAAATTAATTGTCTGAATGCAATGTCGTGGTAAAGTTTTAATCGAAGTAATTATATGTCTGTTACGTTACATCAATTCATGGACTCAGTAATTATATATTATATGACGCAACTACATTTGGTAGGGTAGAACGTTACCCTTATTTGTATTATGATCATGAGTTTGATAACCAAAAATTTTTATATAACGATAACTTTAGTTTCAATCTTAAAAGATTGCTTATGTAAATCAGAGGATAATTCAACCTCACTAGGTTAATTAGCATACATGACCTAGTAGTTGTCGTATTTTCCATGAAGTAATACCTATCAATTTATTTTGAAATCGCCTTTGAAAAATAATATACCTAATATATATGATCATTATCATCTTTTCATCACCCGAAGGACTTGATTTCTATTCTTTTTTTGCGAACAAAATTCTGTTTGTGGCGTATCCATATTAAAAAAAAATGTCAAAGATATATTTTCAATCTGTTATTTCATGTACCTATGTAACAATGTGATTTATAAGTAGTTCTATGATAGTTGCTGTATTTATGGTAATTAATTTAAAATGATTATAGGTACAGTAGTTATATTTGAAAAAACTGGTTAAATAATTAATAATTGATGCTTTAAATAAAAATATTTGGTTTTTTTTCTGCAGTCCTGCTTTTGTTATATTTGTTGGATAGTATCAACATCAGTATACTTACATATATGTTTTTCTATTTATTATTGTTTTAGAATAATAAAACTTACTTAGCAATTAGGGGTCTGCAACCCAGGCACGTGCCTGTGCCCAACAAAAGTTCTGGGCATGGGCATAGGCACGAAACCTCAGGCATGGGCATGGGCACAGGCATGAAAGCTCAGGCATGGACATGAACATGGGCATAAAAAATTGGCATAGGCATAGGCACGGCACAAAAAACTTGGCATGGGCATAGGCACAGGCACAGAAATTTAGTATTTATTATTTAATTATGCCTGGCACTTTGCCCGGCACCTGTGCCCGGCACCTTGTGCCTAGTACTTTGTGCCCATGCCTTTGCTAATGCCCGGCACTTTGTGCCTATGCCTTTAATGGTGCCCGGCACTTTGTGCCAATGCCTACAATAGTGCCTGGCATTTTATGCCTAAAGGCATAGGCATGGCATGAGACACCTAGTGCCTGATATAAGCCCATATGTCCAGCATGGGCATTTGCAGACCCCTATTAGCAATATTGCCCAAGTGCAATTCACCTAAGCAGCTAGATTTGTCTCATAGTAGTTTTTCAACTTACTAAAAACTTTGCTTTTCAAATTACAGGCTGGTTGCTACCAATCTTGAAATATTTAGCATTTTAAAAAATTTTAATAACTAATATTTTATATTTTTATTTTTAATTTTTAATTTTTTTTTATTTTGTCATGTCCTGCCACTGTTTTATTTTTATTTATTTATTTTTTTTTTTTTTACCTCCCTTCGCATCTTGAAGGTCCTTAGACACCTTCAGATCTCTCACATCTCTCAAAGGTCAGAGTTTTCATATTTGCGGAGATCACTAGTATGGCGAATTGGCCACCTATATGTCACCTTACTGGTGAGATAACTCATGCTCTGTTAAGTATATCATATGACGTCCTGGGTCTCTGGTGCCGTGGTGTAGAATCTACATTCTCTAGATCCGCAGTTCTCTAACTTTATATGATTCACAAGCTGGATCATCTTTTTATATATTCTTAAGCTGGGTTTTTCTTAATTTTAGCATCATTTGTTGACGGATTACGCTTTATCTAGTCGTCCTCGGCCCCGTGGCTATGCCGGCAAACTGCAACTTATATGAGTCTTGTTCTTTATTTTTTAATGGAAAATCCTCCAAAGATCTTAGTTAATCGTGGTTCTGGCAGAGCTGTTTGTCACCCAGTGAAACTCAAACTTGCGACCTTGCGATTGTGATCTGGGAGCACTAACCACTATGTTATTGACCCACAGGTCCCTACTATTTTATTAAAATAGTAACCAAGCAAAATTACAAGAATTTTAACTATAGTTAATCCTTCTTTAACTGCAATAAGTAACTCACTTGGCTTAAAGCCCAGATGCGACATCGTCTAGTGGTTGTTTGTCTTACTCCAGACCTCTAACTTCCTAGAGGCATGAATCCTTTAATCATTGGTCAGTGCCACATATTATATTAGTATCATCTTTTCTACAAAATACTATTACAAAACAAAAGGCAAAGAAAAAAGGTGTGATACCTCAATGTTCAAATTCAATCTATCTAAACAAATAAAACCAAAAAATATATAAAAGAAAAATAAATGAAAGAAACGAAAACAAAGATGCACTATTAAACCTGTGTCAGATTATAAAAATTATATAAACTACTAAATAATCTAGTCTAAACTCTACACTAATTACTTATTGTCTATATTAGGATATGTAAAATATCTATTCTTAAGTAGAAGCCAAGTCCAAAATTTCTCTTGCAGTCCTACCAGATTCAGTATGATATCCTGTAATATATTCTTGTACTAGTACTTGTCCTTGGGTAAAGTTAAGTGATCTATACTTTTTCAGCTTCTGTAGATCTCAGTATAAACACCATAACCTCTTGAGATAACTGATCAGACATTATTCATCCCAAAGTAGATATGTACTTCTATATGTGACTTTTCTTTTTCAGCAGTGATTGTTGTTATCGATCCTTCGATAGGGATACACCATTTTTCCTATTTTTTGGTGAAAATTTTGTAAAGAACAAAGAGTAGAGCTTTGGTAGAGGGTTTCGGTTGTAGGTATTCTTAAACTTCAGTAGAAAGTGTGTTGAAAACTCACTTGTTGTTCTTCTTAGACCAACTATTTTTAACTTTGTCAGCAGAAGCAGAGCTTTTATTAAAATTTTCTGTATAA